AAAGAGAAAGAAGTTAAAGGTACTGTAGTTTATTTACTTATTCATTTAAAATATGTTAATTAAGTACCTCTTATGTGCAGTGTTCTCCAAAAACAAGTGATTGGAGCAGACTTTCTATAAAGGACAGTTTTGCCTATCGACATTCCACATAATAAACTTTCTTACTCTGAATTTCCTTAACCTTATAGAAATAATAGTTGATTGCTATCCACATTCTAGGGTCCAAGAGGAATATGAATTTGTAAGATTTATACTTTGGAGCAAAGAAAAAATTCAGAAAACTCTCTTTCGCTTGTGTATGGGTCTGGGAAGCTGGATGGAGGCAAATGACACTGGCTTAGCAGTGGTCCCCAGGGGCCAAACACACTATCTCCAAGCTCCTTATTCTCACCTTTTTCACCATAAGCGATCGCACACCAGGTCCTAATGATTCAGTCTCCAGAATGTTTTTTCCCATGCATCTTTCTTTCCTTTCTTTTTCGACTGCTATTGCTTCAGTCCAGAACCTCTTATTACTCTTGCATATACATCATTACAGAGCATTCAGATCAAAGATCTCCCTATCTGCGGTCTCTCCCTGCTCCAGATCATTTTCCCTACTGCTGCCAGACTTACCCACTGTATTATATTAGTCCTCTCTTTAAAAACAACGTTTTTTCTATTGCCTCTTCGGTTAGGCATCCATTCCCCAGCAGGGCATCCAATACCACATGGTGTTAAGAATGTAGACTCTGGAATCAGAAACACCTGTGTTAAAATCCCAGCTTGGCCAGTTAAGCCAGTTTTCTCATCTGAAAAATGGGAATGATACCCGTACCCCAGTTGGCGGTAAAGGGAAAGAGGATATTTGAATTCTTGGCACCCTAAGTAGGCACTCAATGAGTAATATTTATAAAAACATTAACAATAAGTATTATTATATTACATAGCTCTGGTTTCATTATGATTTCCTAAAATGCCTTTATTTCTCCACCTTTGCTCACGTCATTTGTTCTCCCAGAATGTTCTTCCTTTTTTTGTGTTATCTCTTTGCCATTTGATAGTCTTTTCAGTTGGAAGCTTGTATGTCATGGAGACTTTTTTTGATTCCTTTGGAAGCAGACATTTCCCTCCCTTTAATTAACTCCTTCCTTGCCCCTGTCCCTAGGGCCTCTGTATTGTGCCTGGGTTTGTAGTCAGAGCTGCCCGGTCTCCTCTTTGCCCTTTCGTCTCTTTCTGGCTGGGGGCTTCTCAAGGGCAAATAGCATGGTACCCTGTCTTCTCCTCCGAGCACATGGAGGACTCTGGGAGTTGATTTCTTCACTTGTCAAAATGTTGTCATGCACATGACAAGAGTTCGAGAGAGACTGGGTGGGACAGTTACCTGTCTTTGAGGCTCTGCCCAGCAGCTTGCCATTAATTTGTGTAGCTTCCCAATCCCACAAGCCCCCAGTCCCCTCAGAAACCTCTTGACTCTGGATGTTCCTGGTTTTCAGGATTTCTTGGGTTTATCCATAAAGCTACTGAATTTCAGAGCTGTAAGAAGGCTGGAAGAGACATGACATCTTTTACTTTAGCCTCTTCGTTCCTCATATGAGGCTCTGCGAGGTTTCACCTTCCTTAAGAAAAATTCCCTAAAACCCATCCTGGATGGAACGAGCCATTCCATCTGGCACTTCCCAGTGCACTGTACATCCTTCTGTTGAGGTCTGGGCATCCAGTATCACAATTGTTTTTGTACATGGCTGTCTCCCATAGTGGACCTTAGCTTCTTTGAAGGCAAGGTAGTGGCTTATTTGTCTTTGTGTCTCTAGCACTCAACACAATGCTCAGTCCGTATGAAAGAGTCAATATATATTAGCCAATTGAATGGAACCCAAAGAGGTTGAGTGAGTGAGGTAGTGAGTTGCCTCTGGCTCCCAGGTCCATGATCTTTTCAGGGTACCAGCTGGTTTACATCATCAAATTCTACAATCCTCATTCTGGAGGTCTAAGGAAAATGCTGGTTGATAATTTGATAGTTACAATATTCAGTATTGACTCCTGAAAGAAACAGAAAGAGCTCTGAGCAGGAGAAATCACTTACCCCTGGCAGAAAAAAAAATCAAGAAAAAAGTGATGACATTGATTTCATTGGTAGGTAGCAAAAGCCACATGAGACATATACAGGTGTGCTAACAGCTTTTCCTTCCTACATATCAGCTCTGCGGTACTCAAGAGGCGAGGGAAACCAGGTCCCATTGCTGTATCCTGAAGGTAGTGGTTAGAATCACTTGCAGAGTTAATAAAGACTGTTGAAGGGGAGCTTCCGTTGGTGGTTAACCCCTGCCTTCTTCAGGTTCCTGTGAGACACCTGACTGATACTATGAGCTCTAAATGTGTTCAAGCTCATTAATACTGTACATGGTGTCTATAGTCTGGGCCAGGCTGGTGAGTTGAGGAAAGAACAAAATTCATGGTAAGATCGTTTCAGTCTCTTGTATAATTTAGGACTCAGCTATGCATGAGAATAAGGCTTACCCCTGAATATGAAATGCTGAAGATGGGCCAAATGTAGGAATTCATAGCAACTGGAGAAGGGAAGGGTGAATGAAGTGGAGGGGGAAATGGGCTCAGACCTTTAGCCTGAGAATTGCCTGAGTGTGGTTAAGCCATCGTTTGGAATGGTATTTTTTCTAGGTCTTGGCATTTGTGAAGTCATTGAGTGCCTTTGTGTCCAGTGCTCCTTCCTAAACAACATGGGCTAGGCCACTCTAGAAACAGGACCACATAATTGCCACAGCCTCAGAATTCTGGAAATTCTGTTTGCCCCTCCAGTCAAATGTTGCCCCATGACATTCCTAAAAAGCTTTGAATGCCTCAAATGGGCCTAAATGGCTTGTCGAAGCACACAGTGGATTTGGAGGTAAGAAAGACCTAGATTTGAATAAATGAGAGACCTGGGGGGAGTTAGTGAGGAAGTCACCAGGAGGTCACCAGGGATGGTAAACTCTGCAAAGCTTTCTTATCTAGAAGATGGGGTCAGCGACACCTTCCTTGCTGGGCAGTTGTGAACAGTACTTCAAATACTGGATTAGTCAGGATTCTCCAGAGAAATAGGACCAATAGGAGGTATATATATAAACAGAGAGAGATTTATTTTAGGGAATTGGCTTATTTGACTGTACGGGCCGGCAAGTCTGAAATTTGTAGGGCTGGTGGGCTAGAAATGGAAACTGAGGCAGGGTTTCTATGCTGCAATCTTGAGGCAGAATTCTTTCTTCTGGGGGAGACCTGTGTCTTTGGTCTTATGGCTTTCAACAGATTAGATGATGCCCACCCACATTTTGGAGGATAATCTTCTTTCCTCAAAGTCTACTAGTTTAAATGTTAATTACATCTAAAAAAAAAAAAAAAAAAAAAGAAAGAGAGGGAGACAGAGACAGAGACAGACAGAGAGAGAACATGAGGAGCCAGAGCAGATGAATGCTCTCTGGGGTCCCTGCTCTGTTTTGGGCAATTTCATAATTTTTTGTGTCAGCTCTACTCGGCTATGGAGCGAGTTGCTTGGTCAAACACCAGTCTAGACTGTCTCTGTCTGTCTGCCTGTCTGTCTGTCTGTCTTTTCCCCTCCCCCTCCCTTTCTCTCTCTCTGTCTCTTCCCATCACATTCATTCATTCTTCTACTATTTCAGTTTCACTTCCCTGATCGCAGTCACTTCTTTCTTCTCATGATTTTCTGCCTCATTATCACTCTCTGACTTTTTCTTTTCTGCTAGCCTCCTTCCCATCCACCCCTCACCACAGGCAAATCTTCTTTGCACCCTTCTAAAAGTACTATCATAAGCCTCCCCCTCCTCTCTTCTGTGACAGCCTGGACTCTCCTTCTTCAGCTTCCAAGTGCCTTTCCTCCTCTGTCCTGGACCTGTGTGGTGACAGCTCCTGGAACTTGAGTGAGGTTTCATGTTGGGGAGAGTCACCCCTTCCTGAGCTGGTTAATTCCCCAGCCTCCCAGTGGATTCCAATCTCAAGTCCAACTCTTGGCTGCCATCCTGCTTGGCCTGCCATGGGGCGAGGATCAGGCACGCTACATCACTGATGGGGTCAAGTGCACACATAGGCAGCCCGCTTGGCCAAGGCCATGGCACCGGGCCCAGAGTGTGCATGGAAGCCACTGATGGCACTTGTAACTCATGTGTGGGAAAGGGACCCAGAGCTGCCAAAGGGGAGTGAGTTCTCGGAAGAGCAGGAGCCAGCAGGTACTCTTCTTTGATTTAAAAGGAATATTTCTGGGACTGGCCCAGGGTGTAGTGGTTAAGTTTGAGCTCTCCACTTTGGCAGCCCAGGGTTTGTGGGTTTGGATCCCAGGCGCGGACCTACACACTGTTCATCAAGCCATGCTGTGGCAGTGTCTCACATATAAAATAGAGGGAGATTGGCACAGATGTTAGCTCAGCGACAATCTTCCTCAAGCAAAAAGAGCAAGATTGGCAACAGAGGTTAGATCAGGGCCAATCTTCCTCAACAACAAAAAAGAGGGAGGGGAGGATATTCCTTTCAGAGCTTTGGGTGCTTCTAATCTAACTTTACATTGGAGGAAAATGGCTGGGAAAGAATAAGGAAAGACATCTTGACGTGTGTCATGGAAGCGGTTGCTCCAGAGCCAGAAATGACTGGAGAGTCTTTAAGCCTGATGCGGACATTTTCATGTAATGAATCAGAAAAACTAGCTCAGAGTCGCACAGCGAGTGTTGTCGTGGCACACACTAGAACTAGATCTCCTGACTTTTTTTCTGCATAATCATCATCTTTTTCTCAGTGAGAGGCAGAAACTCATGTGTCTGGTAGCCAGGGAACAATTCCACTGGTAAGTCTGTGCAGCTCATTCCCCTTTGCAAACAAAATGTATAAAACCTGCAAGTCATCTTTCAAGAGAGGGACGTGGGTTCTGGTGCTTAGAGCCTGGGGCTGCTTTTGAAGGACTCGCCTTTCTGACCCCAGAACACCACTCCTCACTGGTGTATTATCTTCTTAGTGCCAGATTCGAGGGGGCAAGGATATCCATTCATTTATTAAATCAGACATTGCCTCTCCCAATTTTCCGGTACAGAATTTAACAGCAATCAGTTAAAAAATAACTTGTAATAAGCTCCATTGTTACGTTCCTATTTTCCCAGAATTATTTTTTACTCTTTCTCCCTCGGCATTTCTCCCTTGAGAACTGTCAGGACTGTAATAATTTTCTCTGGAGACTGCGTTCTCTTCTTCTCTCACTTCTTCTGCCCTCAGACTACCGTGTACAGCTCTCAAAATCCACTTGGGTTGTTAAGAGAATATTCCACCTGCATCTATTGCCTGTGTCTTGCTCTCCCTATGAACAAAAATTCCAAGAAAATCCAATCAATACAAGAAAACAAAAATCGCAGAACATTATTTTTGCTCAAATTTCTTCAGACATTTTGCTTGATTTCACCTAGGCTTGAGTAAATAATAGGATGGCAAGGTTATTTGATCAAATCTGTACAATTTCTAGCTGTGCAGTCTTGAACATTTGTTTCCCTGGAAATCCCAGACTTAATTTTATTTTCCAGGACTACATAGGATAATTTCTCCAGAATATAACTTTTTTTTTTTTTTCTAATGAACACCTAATGATTACTCTACTTGCTCTTTCCACGAAATTATGAGTTCAATGTCCAGGTGTGATGTCCGAATCTATTTTTTGTGATGCTCATTTTATTATTGGAAATGAATGAAAGCAGTGTGATAATACAAATCAGTTACAGCAATAATATAAGCAAGTATGTTTGTTGAGCACCTGCTGTGTGGCAAGTTTTTACTTCGATTCTTTGCACTCGTTTTTAGAGCCAATCGTAAGCATGATTCCCATCTTCAGGCACAAAGACTGAGGCTCGGAAAGCTGTGAACAATTGCCAAGACCATGTAACTAGACAGAGAGCCTGCACTGGTCTCTGTTCCAATGTGCTCTGTTCAACAGCCCATTGCTCCTTCGTGGTCACCACCATTTTCATCATGAAGGACCACTTGGTGCGTGATTGTGTGTGCCATCCTTTATAGCGTGGGGCACTGACTTCTAGGGTCCACTAAAGGAGGGTGCTGTGAAAACACAGTCAGGGAAGGAGAAGGGACAGGTAGAAGGATGTGATGAAGGGCCCAGACTTTGGATCTGACCACTCCCCACGGTGAATTTCTCATTTGGAGTCTCGGTCTGACCAAGTTCTGTTATCATCACACATCAGGGCACTTCTAGGGAAAGAAAATGAAAGAGCATCTACAGAATGGAAGGACTTTGAAGAAAGAGGCCTCCTTGCTTCCCCCAGGCCCCCTTGAAGAACACAGTGTTCCAGTTATCTATTGCTGGTGACAAACCAACTCCAAACTTAATGGCTTAAAAATAAATAACTACATTTTATTATTATCTCTCATGGTTCTGGGTTCTACTAGGAAGTTCTCCTTCAGGGAATCTCTCATGAAAGCTCTGTCACTTACGTCTTTGACTCCTGAGCTGGGAAGATGCAAACAGCTGGAGGCTGGCCAGCGGGGCTCTCCGATGCCTCTCTTTGGTCTCTCTACGTGGTCTCTCTAGTTTGTTGGCTTCTGGAAAACCAGAATTCTTATGTGGTGGTTCAGGGCTCCAAAGATGTGCAGAGAGATGAATGAGACAGAGAGAGGGAGCCATGTGCCACGTGGCCTATTATGATCTAGCCTCGGAACTCACACAGCATCACTTCTGCTGCATTCTCTTCCTGGAAGCTGTCACCAGGAGAGGGGAGACAGACCCTACTTCTTGATGGAGGTGTGGCAAGGGTCTCTAAGACCAGGTGGGATCAGAAATCGTGCTGCTAACGTTTTTGGAAAATAAGTATGCTACACACAGTGTTGCTCGTGAACAAGTGACTTGGCACCTGGATCTCTTTTCCACTCAGTAAAAAGAGTGAGTTGGACCCGAAGAGCTAAGAGCCTTTGTAGGTCACGCATCTGGTGACCTTGTAAATGAATCCGTCCATCTGTCACACTAGACAACATACGACCTCTGTTCCTGACAAATTCTCTAGAAACCACATCCTTTACGGTGGTTGCCACGCAATCCTAATCTCTTTTCAACATGTCTGATGTGAAGACAGTGCTCTCGGAGGATATTGCATAGATGCGTAGACCTATGGGAGCGGAAGTTTGTTCAAATCAGTTTTTTTAATGATAGGAGGATACAATCTTATTAATCTAGCCTAACTCTGCCATTTCACAGATAAGAAGGTAGAGTTTCATAGAGTGAAGGCATAGAGCCAGATCATATTAAGAATGATGCTTAAAATGGGAGAGTATTTAGAGATAATTAAGATGGGGCATGATTTAAAAAATCTTATCATATGAGAAACAGTTAAAAAAATTTTAGCCTGGAACAAAGAAGACAATATGTATATTATCTTTAAATATTTGAATGTTCTCTATATGGAAAAAAAAGTTTAAATTTGTTTGGAGATTTAAAAGCATGTCTGAAATTTGGGCTACAGATAGAGTCCAGCTTTTATTTCCAATGATTCTATGTATGTTAGTTTTGCCTAGAGTATATACTTAAAAGTTTTTATTAAGCGAATTACGTATGCCTTAAATATAAAAAGGGTAGGGAAAATGTCTTGTTTTTATCTTACATCCCTTTCTAGCAAAGAATAGATAATAAATGTTGATCAATTGATACTTGATGATTACTAGATTATTGATTGATGCTTAGTGTTGATACTTGATTGTTGGTTGAAATCTACAAGACAATACCTAAAGGAGTAGGAGTGTGGCATCAACATACCCTGATGAGTTTTTTATCCATCCACTTCTCTCATTTGAACGAGTGCATTTTCGCAGATTAATAGAAATCATACCCTTGTTGTTTCCAGCACCAGGAAGCTCCTCCCAGAGACTGTGCTCTGCTTTCAGACATGGTTTCTTACAGGGCATTCTCAGTCCGTCTCAGAAGAGATGCTTAGCACTCTCCAGGAATGAATACGCATAAGGAGGACTTGGTCTTCTCTGGATGGAACCTTGTTTATTCAATTCCATACTCCACATGGGGCTTGAGAGACTGTGAGAAGGGATGCGAGGGGCGTGGGGCTACCAATAAGTGGGACCTTAGTACCAGAAGCAGCGCTTTCGAGAACCTCCTAACGCAGCCAACTTCCTGGTGTGGTAACACCTGCGTTTTCAGAGCAGAGAAAATACAGCAGCCCTACATGTGGTTAACTGGATACGATCAGGACACTTCAGCTTTCAAAACCAAGTTGGACCCCAGGAACATGCTTTTATTTGACCTGTTCATCGTCATCGATTGTCCTCTGGCTGCAGGCCTCTCTACTGCTGGGAGTCGGCTCTCGGCACGCCAATCAGTGCACTCACTGGCAAGGAGTTTTACTTCTCAGTTAGCGCAGTTCAGCAGTGGCTGGCAGATGCTGGCAGTGGAATGCCACCATGCGTGTAAGTGATGCAGCTGCTGCCCCCACTCCTAAGGAACAGAGCCATAGAGAGCCTCGCCTGGTCCCAGAGCTGTCCTTCTCACACTGTATATAGAGGAGCTGTGGACCACGGAGGCCAGTGAAGACCTTTCTCTCTTTCTTTAGACTTGGGGTTTTTAAAATTATTTTTATTTTTTAATTTTCTTATGGAAGATTCACCCTGAGTGAACATCAGTGCCAATCTTCCTCTACTTTTTAGTATGTGGGCTGCCAGCACAGCATGGCCACTAACAGAGTGGTGTAGGTCTGCGCCCAGGAACTGAACCCGAGCCACCAAAAAAAGCAGAGCGTGCTGAACTTAACCACTGGGCTACCCAGGCTGGCCCTTGATCTGGGATTTTATAAAAGACACACCTGCCAATTGTGGAAAGCTCAATAGCCTGAATGTGCCTCAATCAATTACCTCGCGAAGATGCAGTACTTCATCATTTATGACGCTTGTCACGACCATCATCGCTGTCCTTGAGTATTAATATAATGAGAGCAGTATTAAGAAAGAGTTGATGAGCACTGGAGCCACATTTATACTGCCTTGTTTTGTGACAGTTGAACAGGCTCTCTAAAGGGACAATGGAGGAATAATATGGCCCCAGATGATCCTGTCTGTCCTCTGTCCCTGAACGGTCATTTTAGTAAGTTAATTTACAAAATGGCCATTTGACAAAATTTTAAACAAAATAGTTGTAATTTAAAGGCATGCCTGAAATTTGGGCTATAGATGGAGTCAAGTTTTTACTTCCAACGATTCTGCGTATGTTAGTTTTGCTTACAGTAAACACTCAAAAGATTTTATTAAGTGAATGATGTACTAAATATTGACTGACTATTTGACTTTGCTCCTTGTAGGGTTGATGCAAGGTAGACGTAATACAAAACTCGAGCTCAGTCTTCTTAATGTGGTGAAAATGGCCATTCTGTTATTTCCAATTTGCCAAGCGTGTTTTATGGGCACACAGTGGGGTACACTCTGTTGGCTGTATGTAAAAACCATATTTTGTTAATTAGAGGCCTATAATAAACCACTCATTTTTATGGCATGTGAGTCCACTTGATTCAGAAAGCTTGGCATCTGGCTCTGATTATGTCTCCTGGTGTGGCTGTGGGACTTCCTTCATGCCTCTTCCCTCACCTGTTTGGGGAGAGTTAGGATGGAAACTTGACTTCTGCAGAGAAAAGGTGAAAAGGGAGATTTTGATCATTTTAAACATGGTTATACGGGATGAACACAGCAAGATGGACAAATCTGCACGGCATCAGGACCCTGTGGAAGATTTTCAGGGCTTGCAAGATTTGACTATTTCTTTTTTTTTCTATTTGTGGAAAATATCAAACTATAAGCTACCTCAAATTCTTTATGGAATGAGGCAGAGTATAAATAAAATATACTATGTGTACAGGGAAGTTGGGGGAAAGTGTTATTTCTGTTTAGGGAGGTCCAATTATAGCAATAAATTGTATTTTATATGCTGACCTTCTTTATCCTTTGTCCGAAGCAAGCTGATGGCTGGCATATCACAGATTATATTTGACTGTTTCCAGACAGAGCATGACCTTCGGATTTGTAGGACCTCAGATGCCTCAGGTTACCTTTCTGGAACCTGGGGTGGCGGATGATCATAGGTTGTGAGAACAGGTTCTTTGTTTGAAGCTTGTCTTGGTGTGGCTTGCAGATCTCAAAATGAAAAAATCTATTGTTCTTATAAAGCATAAGGACAGGCTATTTTCCTGACCAGGCTGGGGACTTGAGTCTCCAAATACACAAGAATGCATAATGGAGCCTAAAAGGCTTCCCTCGGTCATTTCTTATTAGCCAAATATCTATTTAGTGCTACTAGGTATGAGCCTCTGTGCTCAGTGTGCCTAGAGGTAGGATGCTATTCAACACTGCCGTAACTACGAGATGCTTGTAAGTCTGATTTATGTGGCCTCAAGATGGGAGGGGCAGGAATCTGCCCTGTTTCTGTGTGTTCAGTGCTTCACGTCATCACTATTCCACAAATATTTATCAGGCGTTTTTGCTAGGTGCTGGAAGTTTGAAAATGATTAAGAGATGTGTATTTTAAGAGTTTAAGATGCAGTGAAGGAGGTAAGATGAACACCTAACCTGAATACAGTTTGTGTGTGTGTGTGTGTGTGTGTGTGAAGGGTTGGGAGACTGGAGCATGAACCAAGCTCACTGGTTTCCCTTTAACTTCACAACCTCAAGGGGGCGCGCCAGGGAGCCCTGCTCCATTTCTTTAGTTCCTTCACTTTCCCACTCTCTCTTAGATCACTATTATTTCACACCTTCTCCTCTTTGACTCAACACCTTGGCTAGTAATCTGGCTTCCTAAATCATTAAGAAAATAAAAACAATCATAAAAGCACTTCCCAGTGTCACCACCAGCACAATTGCTACCGTACCACAAGCACCTTCGTCTGGACAAAATGAGTGAACTGTTTCTTTCTCAAGCTAAGGCCAATCTCTCTTTCATGCTCTACATCCCATTCTGTCCAACCTACTCCAGGACACCACTTGAGCATCTCTCCTGCATTATCAAATTTTTCTCTCTTCTGAAGGATCTTTTCCATCATCATCAAACTTGCCGAATATCTCATCTAAACAATTCCTTCCATTCACTCCTCTCCATTTCCCTGCATTCCTTTATAGCAACAGTCTTTGAAAACATCTTTTACAATCATTGTCTCTTATTCCTTCTTGATTCACTTCTAGGCAGGATTTGCCTCCACCACTGGACCAAAATGTGTTCTCAAGGTTGTCGATGACCTTCATGGAACTAAATCCAGTGGTTAATTCTCAGTTCTCCTTTTACTTGACAGCTCTTGGCCCATTTGACACAGTTGATCTGCCTTCTTGCTTCATGCGGTCTTGGAGACCACCTTCAGTTCCTCTTTATTAACCCAACTTTAAATTTTGGAGTGTCCCAGGGCTTGGTCCTTTGATTTCTCCTCTCTGTATACTCACTGCCTAAGTGATGTCATTCAGTATTACAGCTTTAAATGCCTATATAACCTGACAACCCCCACATTTATATCTTTCAAGTAGACGTCTCCCTTAGACTCCAAACTTGAATATCCAACTACCTAGTTCTTCTGTCCACTAGGATGTCTAACAGATACTTCAAATATATCGTGTACAGAAAGGAACTGATTTTCCCCTCCTCCTCCCATGCCAACCTGCTTCTCCCAGTCTTCATCATCTCAGGGACTGAGCCCTTCACTCTCCATGTTAATGGAGCAAAGACTCTTGGAGTCATGTGTTCTCCTCTGTTTCTTTCACTTACATCTATCTTGATTCTGGCGCTTTTCATCATCTCCATTCTTCCCTCCTTTATTTAAGCCACCAGCATGCCTCATCTGTGTAATTGGAGTAACTTTCTTCTCAACTGGCAACCATGCATCTGCCAATGTCTTCTCTTCCATCCGTTCTCTGTAGAGTAATTCTTTTATATAAATCTGATCACGTCACTCTTCTGCTCAAAGAGCTCCAAAGGCTTTTCATCTCGCAGAAAGGAAAAGCTCAGGTCCTCTGCCTGTTTTGTAAGCCCCTACCTTATCTTCACCTCCTCCCCCCACCATTTCCTTTCTAACCTCATCTCCTATCACTTTCTCCCTTGCTCACTCCACTCAGCCACTGCCTTCCTGGAGGGCTTTTGAACATGTCAAGGAAGTTCTCACCTCAGGGCCTTTGCATGAAGTTTTCCTCTTTCTGGAAAGCTGTTTATCAGATGTCTTATATGATTCACTCTCGCTTCCTTCAAGTCTCTGCTCAGTCTCACCTCTTCATGAAGGCTCCCACATCAGCCTAGTTTAAACCACAATGCCCCCATTCTACCCCTGTGCTCTCCTTACCTCCCTTACATGACTTAACTTTTCCCTATAATACTTACTGCCCTCTGATATATATTTTCTTACATATTTGTTTATTATTTGTTTTCTACTCAAATGCAAGCTCCCTAAAGGTAGGGACTTTGCTAATTTTGTTGAATGCTGTATCCTCAGTGCTTAGAACAGTGCGTGGCCCATGGCAGATGTTCAATTAATAATTGTTAAATGCATGAATAAATCAATGGTCGAGGTACGAGGGGAACATAGAGGACCCTATGATTATTTTTGTCTGAAGACTAAAGACTTCAAAGAAAAGATGACTGATAAGCTGGACTTTTAATACTGCAAGAGATGGAAGGAGGTGTGTTTCTTTGCTGGTACATGGGGAGGAATGTTCAAAGCAAATCGTGACATAGACTGCGATGACAAATTGATAGGCCGTCAGCTTTGTCGAGCACAGGGCCCATTTTCCAGTAGGCCACCCAAGCCAGCAGACCCCTCATTTCTGCAGAGGAGTGAGGCAATCCGATTTAGATTTCAGAAGGCCACTTTGGTGTGCGTGTGGAGGATTAGTGGTACAGTGGGGAGGAGTGGGGAAAGTAAAGGCTTGGAACACATTAGGAGACTAACACAACTGTCCAGGAAAATAGACCTCAAAGACTTGGGGTAAAGCATACACGTAGCTTTCATGTCCAGCACATGTGCTGATAACAGCTCTGCTTGAGGGTAACAGCTCCAGGTCCCGAGAAAGCATCCAGCCATCTGAAGTGAGAAAACCCAGTTTACAGCTGAGGGGTGTTTTGATAATCTGCCATCTAGGTAGGCAAGTCTGGGATGGGGGGGCCAAGGTTTGGGGGGCATCTCAGTTCTTCTTAATTGGGGCGGAGGTGGTGGTGGTGTGCAGCTAGCTACGGATGGGGTTTTGAGGGAAAGCACATCCCCCTAACATATTTTAGAACGTGTGCAACTGTTGAATCCTGGGTTGGATGGATCCTTGGGCTGACTGAATATGGTACTTTGTATATTCTGTGAACTCTATGTTTATTCTTGTGCTCCGTATTTCTAAATTATAAAGGAACCAATATACAATTCTTTGTGAAATATCCTGTCAATATCTTTTACTTCCTCAACAGATTGCCACACAACAGATAGGATCACTTGTCTACCTTGATGATTGATTCTGATTGCCATTGTAGGATTGATCCATGGTGATCTGCATGGATCCCTAAAATGGCTGAAACTGCTGGTCCACCTGGGACACTGTCCAAAAATTCAGTTAGAGTTTCAAATCTCTGAATATATATAATATTAATTAATACATAATATTTTATATCATTTATATATTTATTATATTATATATAATTAATAACATAATAACATTTTATGTTTTATATATAATTATATAACACTAATTATTATATATAATTATATAAATATAAACTAATAAAGTATATTAATAATAATGTATCTGATATACTGGAGCCCTTGGTACATTTCTACCAAGAAAGTGTTTTATAAACAGTAAAATAGCTGAAAAAATTAGAAAGTTATTCCACAGATTTCAATCCTAAATTCTATATAGGAAGTAATGTTTTCACCAGTAAAAGAAAGAAAAGGAAAAAGGCAAATAGGCATGATGTAGAGAGGACAGTTATTTTTTTCCCAATCTGGTAAAACTGAAATTCATATCAACACGTTTGAATCTAAACTGTGGTTTTCCTATAGTAAAATGATGACTGGTGTTGTGGTGGATTTGACATACGTGCAACCAGTTCAGCACCTTTTTCTTGTTCAATTTTCCTTGAAGTCAGTCTAGCACTGTCTTCCACTTTACCTGGCCGACTCAAAGACCACTCTTGACTTTTCGTTTTCCTTTGAAAGCCAGGAGTTTTTTTGGTTTTGGTTTTGGTTTTTTCCCTCTCTCTCTAACTTCCTGGTTTGGGTCGTTTTCTTTTCCCCTACTGGCAAAGAGGAGGTTTCTTCAGCGGTTAAAGCTGTTCGTAACTTTGGTAGGTGGCTATGTTCTGAGGGCTTCAAGCTGCTGCTTCTCTTCTTGAATTAACTTGGCTTCTTTATTTTCATTTTAGCTTCACCCAGAGAAACTGGCATTTCGATATCGCCTGTTGTTTTTGTTGTCTTCTTTCTGTTTTTCTTTTTATTTAGACAAAATATCTTACTCATAGAGGACATATTGGAAACAAGATGATGTTTCTTCCAATCCCTTCTTTTACTTACGCTTCCATCTTTCCTATATATGCCTGAAATATTGGAAACAAAATGCAGTTCTGGAACTGTGGTGTGCCTTTCAATACAGCTTAAAAAGGGGAAACCTACCTGATTGTTTCCTGCTGAGATGAGAGCAGGATTGCAGAGGAGGCACCTGCTCCTAGGAAAATATTTCTCTTGAAAATATTCCACAAATATTCAGGCTACATTAAAGCCCCAGTCAGTAAATGCAGTGAAGTGGCCAAGAGCATGACTCTGAAACCAGAATGCTGGCTTTGCAGCCTGACTCTGCCATTAGCCAGCAGTGTAACCTCAGGCACATCACTCAAACTCTCTGAACCTTGGTTTTTTCTAAAGTGCAAAATGGTGATTACCTACTCAGTAACATTGCTGGGAGGGTTGAGTGAGCTTATATACATGAGACACTTACCCCTGATACACATTGAAAGAAATGTTTGCTATTATTCCCACTCTTTAGATTTCGCATGGTAGCTATGAACCTTAACGGCTTTGCTACTTGCTCCCAATTCCAGTGGCTTTTCAAATCGGTGCCTCCAAATATCATCTGTTGTCTCTCCCTTGCTGTTGTTCTCTATCTGTATGTCCGTTTCCCCTTTCTTTGGTAAAGCCCTGCCCATTCTCTTCATACGCCACCTCTCTCTCTTACTTCCATACCCCCAAGAATGGCAGTCTGGATTAACACCTGTGGTTATTTCCGATTCTCTCCACACATCATGTTCTGCCTGTTAGACCAGACTTTCTTCCAGCACCTGATTCTGACTCTGCTTTCCCAGTAGCTGCTCCACCCCAGCTGGCATGTCCAATTCTGGGTCTTGGCTGATCACAGTCTACCCTGCCATGCCATAGGGAACCGAGCATGCTCAGCCATGTCTGAGATATGAGATTACTTCTTCCCTCTTTTTTCCCCTCATCTCTTTTGATATAAAATAATTTATTCCTTCTCTGAACCACTTGTGCAATCCCTTCCCTTAACACTTGTAGAATTATATCTTGTATTAGTTGTTTGCCAGTCCTTTCCTGATAGATTATGAATTTCATGAAGGTATAGACTTTGTCTTAAACTCTGTGTTCCCCTAAATACCTTAAGTATTGTGGACCCCAGAAATTTCAGGACGTATTTAAGCCTCCCTTTCTGAGAATGTTCGACTTTATGGGCCAACATAATATCTGACCACTTTAGCAATCCAGAACCCAAATATTCATTGTCAACTTTCAACGTGACCCCAGGAATCTGCCCATAGAATTTGGTACATATCAAAACTAAGGTTGTAATAATAAGCTCCTAAAACTGTCACACTTTGGACTCCTCAATTTAAAAGGAAGCCAAAGTTGGAGAAAAAATGTTAAAGGAGCGAGGTAGCAACGTTACATGTGTTGGAAAATTGGATTATTAAATAAAAGTGAAATGAATGGGAACTGTTTACATCAAAGAAAAGACTGTTGAGAAGGGGCTTAGCTCCGCTGAACTTAAGGCAAGTTGCAGTGTAGAGAATGGCGGACAAAAGTCTGTTTTCTCCACTGAAGACACGTAAAAAAATTTGCTTAAATTAAATTTGCTTTGCTTAAAGGGAGAATTAAAATTAGCTATAAACCAACATGAGCAGTAAGTGGCTCTAATTACTAGCACGTGTTGCTGGTGGAGTGGAAATGATGCAGCCACCTTAGGAGACTTAGCCACAGTGTAGATTCCAACGCTCCAGAACAGAGTAAGGGCAGCATTCCTCAAGACAGGAGAGTGGATCAGATGCATTTTGGAGACTCCTTTCAATCCTATTTTCTTTCACTTTATTACAGGTTTCTTAAATTTCATCCAATGCCTGTAGATTTAAAGACACTTCCTACCTAGTGGGTCCACATTTGGACTGACTCTTAGAGGCCTTGAGTATTCCCAACAGTGTTCTAATGTCTGGAGGAACCCCTCCGCCACCAAGTCATTGGGCTTTCTTTTTTTAATATCTTACCAATAACACTTGCCTTATTAACAATATTTATTGTAAAGAAGAATTCCCAGAGTTGTCTTAAAATCATTGCTTCCTCTGCTCCTAGACCCCTTCCCCCATCAAACACCAAACAAAACCCCGAAACCTACCTCGACTTTTGATGACTAGCGCACTAAGAAGAGAAACATCCAAAAAGTCATTTGATAAATTTCTGACGAAATGTCGGAGTAGAGTACTGAATAAGTCTCATTCAAAGTCCGCACTTGGTATATTTTCTGCTTTGGCTTTGGGTGATTTTCACAAGTCTCCTCTTAGCGTGTTGTGTCCTTTTGCACTGGGCTGTTGGCCTAAAGTCATGACATAAGCTATGTTCAAGATCTGTTACTGTCAATAATTAATTAGCTCCAGTTTCAATTATAAAGAGGAAATGGGTGGTGATATATAGTTTTTTATGTTTGTGTTGGTTCATACTAAGTCTTAGTCAGTTAATGTTTCAACTCCTTGATGGTAGAATGGATGACATAATTATTTCATTTCCTTCTTAGTAATGAGGATAAAAAGTTTCTCAATGGACACTCAATTAGTAGAGATAAAAATGGGAATGCCTCTAATAATATAGAGGATGTATTTTACTGATTTTCTCTGATACCCAAAGTTTTAACTATAGAAGTGGGAAAAATAGAAATGTCATAGGGATTGTTATAGAGTATCAGAAAAGGGAAGGATTATGGTAAAAAAATTATAATTTAATGCAAACTGGAAACATTAATTGTGATAGAAAACAGAATAATTTTCTGGAAAGCTGATGACAGAGAAAGGATGTAAAAGTCAAGAAAGTATATCGTAAAAAAAGATAGAATTGAGAAGGTTGTTCTGGAGGGTATACCAGGTGAGCCAGACACACTTTCTACCTGGAAAACTTTTGGGATTTGGCTTACTGGGGCCAATCAGGTGGGGTGTCTTCATTAGGAGGAAAGAGAAGAGATTGTAGGCCGTTCTTTCTGGTTTCCATCTCCTGCATATCCCCTAACAAAAGGCAAATCAGTTCACCTTAAGAGTTAGACTTATGGTAACTGTTGTGTTAGGAGTTCCTCAGATCCACTCCTGGTGTCTGTCTATCTGCTGGTTGTCAGAAATGCCTTTGATGGAGCATAAAACCTTTTAATTCCACACTTAGAAATTGGAGGCAAACATCTGGCGGAGAGAGAGTTCTTTGACACTCATCCATGCTGAAGCATAATGAACCCATGAGGGAATGAATGAGTGAATGAAGTAATACACTTAAATAATTGATAACTCTTTTCTCTGTTGACTCAGAGTGGCAGGTAAGCCAAGGTGGAGAAGGAGAAAAAGTGGCTGAGACAGTGAGGAAGGAAAAGTCTGGTAACAGTGTAACAGTTTTGCCTGGAGTCAATTCTTTGTGCTTTTCAAATGGAAGCTGCATGTGGAAGTATATTGCTGTCCAGCTGCACACGTATAGAGGTCTTAGTAGGACTATTTCCCCTAATCTATAGCATATCCACACCCCCTCCATACTTGACATGATTTATGAGGTCTTATTTTATGAGGCTAAATCTATTGTAGAGGGGTTTCATTAATTAAGGCATTGCTAGATTCACTAACACCTGTGGGCTCCCTTAACTTACACCCTGCAGGTTTCCCCCCCTACGAAGCATACGGCCACAGAGGAGCAGAGAGTTACATGACTTGGGCAAAAAACAACAAACAAACGCAGTTAGAGAAGGATCAGGCTGGGACTGCAGTCCAGGTCTCCTGATTCCTCATACACCCTAGAGTCCTGGTATCTTAACGATCATTTAATAGTCATGCCACAATATCAGCGTGCTTCTTTTACACTTCCTTTCAACAAACACTTTATCCCATTTAAGTCACTTTGAATTCTGAACCCTTCATGTTGTCATTCAAGTTGACTTTTGCCTCCATTTTGGCATTTTCTGTCATTTCATGAACATACGGCACTTAGTCTATTAACAGACCAATTCTTCTTCCCTTTGTACATTTTCCCATGACCTTTTATTCTTTGTTCCAAATCATATTAATGTTGGTATATCCTTCAATTTAGCTACTTCAGGGGGGAGACTGGACAACCAGTCAAAGGTTTACACAGTTCAAGAGGGAATCACTGGGATCTGTGAGTCAAAGGATATTTTAGGATATTTTAGGCTTTGAGTTTTTTGCATGTTTCAGTGTTTTTCATTCAAGAGTGAAATGCGAACTTCACAATGGCCTGGTTAGTCATAATCATGAAGACAAGGGAGAGCAAATGAGTTTCATCTTAAATTCCCAACTCACCTTGGGTACTGGGCGGGGGCCTGTGGCATTAAGGCAGAGCTGGGAGGAGATGCGTGTAGTGCTAGTGCTGGTACCACCACCCTAATGTAGAGAAACTGTTAGTTGAAACAGTGTATCTTTGGCTACTCTTCAGCACCACACTATCACGGACAAATGAACTCTTCAAATAGGGATTCCATCGAAGTCAACAGTCCTCATGCATTTTCCTTTCCTTCCCATAGTTCATCTTGGACTCACACACACCCTCTCATACTTTCCATGGGGGAAAATGTGCCTAGAATCAATGGAACAAACGGCATCAAGTTGTAAGTGAAAAACATCTTATTTTTTATTCAGGGTAAAGGTATGTTATTAATTCATATCAATAAAATGATATAATCACACTTATAAACATGAATCTTGTAAGAGACAAGACAAAGGAGCATTGGAGGACCTTGACGGTCCTCTAGCGGGAGGGCTGTCACTTTATAGATCAAATTACTTGGGTAATAGGACTATCAAAAGGGTCTTTAGTAGCTATAACATGAAAACATAAGATTATGCTGTCAATACCTTTATGAAAAGATTGAATAGGTTTTACCAGGTCTTTAAAAGTTCTCATGACGTTTTTGAGTCTAATACATACACTCTGAATTTCTCTCCTTCTAATCGACTATCTCAGATATGTTCCTTCCTATAAAGCACCAATAAAATATAAAAGTGATAATGGTAGTTACCAGAAAGAATATCACAACCTGCTCCAAGTTTGTGTAGAGAAACTCAATGGTTTTTCTAGGTGAGTCAATGAACACACTAGGGACATTTCCTAAGAGTATTCTAAGTAGGTCTTGGTTATCAAATTGGCAATTTTATTGTTAGAGAATTTTAAGGTTTGATAGATAAAGTATGAGGATTCATTCCTATAGAGAACAGTCTTAAAATCTAGTAAGTAATGGAAAAGACATAATAAATGAAGAAAAAATCAAACTTTTGTTGAGATAAGCCAGATGATCTGAAATTAAGTCCTTTTTCAGTCCCTCAGGATCTTATTTTGATAAAAAATATGGAATATATAAAATGTATAAAGAAGGAAGCAAAAATCACATATTTTTTCACCCAGAGATAACATCAGTTAATTTGGTTTACTACCTTTTAATTCTTTATCTTCTTTTATTGTTTTGAAATTTTAAATTTTGTATAGAACAATATGAGTTGTTAATAAACTCAGTTCAACATCATAAGATTAATCAGATTCATGCTCCATCAAACCTGTCACCTTTTGAATATGGAAGGACATCTTTTTGTGTGTGTGTGTGTGAGGAAGATTGGCCCTGAACTAACATACCTTGCCAATCTCCCTCTTTTTGCTTGAGGAAGATTGTCGCTAACATCTGTGCCAATCTTCTTCTATTTTGTATTTGGGGCACTGCCACAGCGTGGCTTGAAGAGTGGTGTGTAGGTCTACACCTGGGACCCAAACCCGCAAATGCCAGGCTGTTGAAGCAGAGCATGCAAACTTAACCCCTACGCCACTGGGCTGGCCCTGGAAGGACCTCTTTGAGAAGACCTGACTCCTCTAGTCCAGTGTCACTCTTAAAGAGCCAATGATACACAGGGATTTTCTCAGCTTCCTCAAGAGTCTCATTGAGGAACCATTGAATAGCATCTAATGGTCTTCTATAGAACATAAATTGCAGCAACACTAAATAGGATGGTTACTAGTTTGTTGTTGTTAGTGCCTTTGAGTCAATTCCGACTCCCAGCAACCCTGTGGACAGTAGAGCTGAGCCCTGCCCAGCCTCTTTGCACCATCCTCTCACCTTCCAGTCCTGTATCAGCCAATGCTTCTCTGCTATTTAGAGTTTTCATGGCCAATGTTCTTGGAAGTGGGTGGCCAGGTCCTTCTTCCCAGTCTGTCTTAATCTGGGGGCTCTGCTGAAACCTGCCCACCATGGGTGACTGTGCTGCTGGCAGAGCATCACAGCAACATGCAGCCACCACAGGACGATGACCCACAGATGGCTGGTGTCGGTCCCTGATTGGGAAACGAACGTGGCCACCAAATCTTAACCACTAGACCACCAGGGCTGGCCAATTATTACAATAAGAACTGTATTTGTTGACTGCTTACTATATGTCATCGTGCTGGATCCTCACAAAAATCAAATGAGAGAGGAGCACATATTTCATCTGAATTGACCGGGGACAGAGAAATTAAGAGACTTTTGCAAAGTCATTCACTAGAAAGTGGCAGACCTGCGATTTGAATGTGGGTTGCCTGATTCCCAGAGTCTGTACTCATCACAAACTATATAAAACAGCATCTTAGGGAACTTTCAATCCTGCATTCTTAGGGGGACTTCCAATATAGCTCTTGTGACGAACCTCACTGTTTCCATTTGTGGAGGTCCTGGCATATCTATTTGCAAATGCCACCACAGTATTTATATCTGGTACCAAAAGATCATTAAGTTCTGTCTGTTTTATTTGATTTCAGTAAAATCCAAAATTTGTGCATAGACAAACTTTAGTACATACATTATATTCCAATAAAAATCCTCACGCTTCTACTTTTAACCTTTTCAATTTTTCTCATTGGTTCACTCCCTATGACAATCCATCCCTTTACTGGAGAAACTCAGGTCCCTTTCCTTTTGTCCCCACAGTGTCCCCAGAGGAAGGCCCCTAAGCATGTGTAGAAGTTGGTAAGCCCCTGATCTGAGCCTGGTCTCACAGAGCATCTCTCTCTTGTTAGTTATTTTTACATGGTTCTTCCCTGCTTCTGAGAAGTAAAAGAAATAATTATCTCACATTTTCCTATAACCATTTCTAATATTTTACCCCTCAGGGACTAGTTTTTATTCCAGCATCTTTCTATTTTACCATAGTTTCGTTTTGTCTTTCATCTTTATATAAATATGTGTTTCAATGCCTGTACGTCGAAAAGCACATAATCACATCTCTTGCTCATTCCACCGACATTTATTGAGTAGTGTCCTAGGCAATGGAAATACAGAGATGAATGAGACAGTTCCTGTCCTAAAGGAGATGCACGTCTAGTGGGAACGAGCCAGGCAAGGACAAAAATGACAGTGCAGCATCACAGATGCAATGATTGGATCAAGCACGGTGCAGACACAGCTCAGAGGATTTGCTCTCCAACGCGGAAGGTGTCAGGAAGGCTGGTTTCTGTGCGTGAAAAAACTCACCCCATAAATTTTATTCATAACATGACTTCCCCTTCTATTCTTGAATTCTTTTTTTCTCTCAAGCTCTGTAACCTCAATGACAATAGTGTACACGGGGGAAAAACACAGAAGGGATTGAAAATCGTGCTCCAGAAAAGCAATTCAATGTTTCTTTTGAAAATAATGAAAAGAAATATATCCCCAACCTCAGCAAAACACATTTTATTAATAGAAATGGCCACATACAACCCTGGGTGATTCAATATCAAAAAGAAACAAAAATCCTACAAAGATCGGACATCACTAGAAGATAATAATTTGCCCTGGCCTGCACACCCTGACAGGCCCCAAATTGAAAATGAAAACACTGACACACAACCCTTGGGAGGGCGATCCATGCCTTTTTCGTAAGGCACTGGGCCATGGAATAATTTCATATTGCTAGGCATCGCATGCCATGCGGTGTACCATCTCTGCTGGAGTCTTTCTGCTTTCTGCAGAAACTCAGTGGAAACTGCCATTCTGGAAACTTCTTCATCCTAGGAGGGGCAGTCCAGAATGACTTCATGTAATGGTAATGATCTGTAAAATGAATCCCAAACAACTAATAATTTCTGTTTTCCCTATAGATGTTCAAATCACAAAGTGCTCAAGTCATATGCTTCATGATATTATATGCTTCGTGGGTCTTGACTGTCTTTGCTGGGATGGAGCTCCACTCGAGGGAGATGCACTCTTCTTTAATTTTCAGTCTTTTTTTTTTTTCACTGTATTTTCAGGAGGAACTGCCTTTCCACGGCTCAATTATTCTGGAGCATTGCTCGCTCTCATTTCCTGCTCCTCTGAATTTCCTTGGAATGAACAGCCTTTGAAGTCCATGAGACTCACTGAATCTGGGTGAGCAGAACTGGACATACGTAGGTGGTTCCAGTGGCCATGGGTGTCAAATCCAGTTTGCCTTCGTGGATGCTCAATCTGTCTCAAACAGAAAATGAAGTTTATAATTTCCTTGACGGGACTAGTCATCTAAACAGTAACTTCAGCCTATTTCAGTTCTTGCACTGAACTACAAAACAAGGGCACTTTGTGACAGTGGCTTTTATATTGACCTTATTGGCATTTAAGCATGGGTAGGATTTGGGCAAGCAGAGAGTGGAGAAATTCAAGGCACCAATGAAGAAATAAAGGAAGAAATGCTTATGGATGTGGTCAGGAATGTAAGATTTGAAGAGCAGCATAGATTGATGGATGATGTGTCTTGAAAAAAAAGGTTTAGTTTAGAAGTGGTAGGAAATAGGGAGTCAGGGAAGGCTTATGGATGGGAAAGTGACAAGAGGAAAACTACACTCAAATGAGTTTAGTGTGTTGGTGATGTCTAAGACAGTGAAGAGGGCAAGTGTGGGAGTGTTAGGGCGACAATATTCGATAGTTCATCTCTGGAAGACAAGAGGGACTAGTATAGTGCAGCTCGTGGGGATGCAGAGGAAAGGATGACTATTAGGCCCATGAGGGGAAGAGCTTACACCGTGCAACAGCTAACTCCACCCAGGAGAGAAGGAAGCCTTTCAACGGGACTCCAAGCTTTGAGTTCAGGCAGAGAAAGAAATCGTGGTGCCACTCCTGGAGCCAGTGAAATTGGAAGCTTGAAGTGACTCAGTGTGAGCAGAGCACAATTTCAGCATTGGACATGCTGAATATTAGGGGTTGATGGAATATCAGAACGTAAATATCAGCTGGCTGCTCAATAATAGGATCTGTCCACATAGAGGAGAAACAGGAAGCAAAAAATATAAGGAGGGCCAAAAAATCCTGTTTTCCCTCTAGCCTGAGCAAGATTTCAAGGAAAATTTTTTGAATGCTTGTTATTTCTGAACCTGAAAATTCTGAGTAACAGAGAACTTACTCAAAGTTTCTCCATAAATGTCTAATTTGTGCTCAGTCTTAGTTTATGTAGTATAATTTGTCTAATTGTTCTAAAAACACATTTGACACAGAAAGCCCTGGTCAAAAGATGAACTCCTCTTCTCCTTTACAATCTTGGGGGCAACTTTAGGACTTCGGTTTTGGGGTTTCATATTAACAAGAGTCTGACTATAATTTTTCAATCAACATTTTCCTCATAAAGAACTGCATGACTATGGTGACAGATACGGAATTCGTACCAACAACAGTTCTCAACCTTGGGTACCTGTTAGAGTCCTGGGGAGTTTTTAAATATTGCTGATCCCAGACCAATGGACTCAGTCTCTCTGTGGATGGCATCTGAGCATCATTGTTTTGTAAAAGCAGCCCCAGGTAATTCTAACGTACATGCAGGATTGAAACCACCTGAAAAATGGAAGCAGCGATTCTGGACCTTAACCGCATGTTGGAACCATATTGGGAGTTTTAAGAAATGTATAGATGCCTGAGTCCTATTTCTGGAGATTCTGAGCATCAGGAATCTTAAAAGGTTCCCAGGTGATTTGAGGTGATGGCGTGCAGTCAAAATCAAGAACCACTGAGCCAGTCCCTGGTCGTCTTAAGGCACACTTTCCAACTTCACTATCTCAAACAACTCTTTAGTCCTGTCTAGGTGGGCAGACCTGTGGGAGAGTCCGCTTGATATTTTTGCCATGGGCGTAATGAACTCAATTGTCAGCTAACTTTTAATCGCAGTCTTTCTTGCTGGTAATAATGATGTAAGAAGTCGAAAAACATCACCAGGATTTTCAGATCCCAGGTTGAGTTTGCATTGTTGGCAGTTGGAAAGTTCATGACTTAAGTTGCAAAACTGAACCCATTTTGAACTAAAGTCATGGAGACAATGTAATGTCATTTACAGGTGCTTCTCTGGAGAAAAACTCGTCCTGAAACTCTGTGACAAAATGAAATTTACACATCTGCAAGTCATAGTCAGCAACTCCAGTTTACTCCAGGAAAATCTTGGATTTAACAAAGATTCTCCTCCAGGATAACAGAAAGAGGGCTACACTTGGTCCTATCTCATGCATTCATTTCTCTAGCTTACACGGATACATTATTTCCACCTCCCTAAATCTAGGTATGTTGTAGGTTTATTCTGAATATCTTTAAAAAGAAACACAGATTATTTGTTTCTCTTAAGTTTCCCCCCCTTAAATCCAGTTTTACCTGGAGCTTGTTTAATATGCTATAAATCTATGAACTGATGTTTGCTAAAAGGAAACACCCCTCCTGCCTAAAATGCCCCTTCATCTATTAAAAGGCTACTTCTCCTTAAGGTTTGCTCAAAATAGAGTTTGTCTGTTGTCTTAGTCTGCTCAGGGTGCAATAACAAAATACCATGCGCCAGGCAGCTAAAACAACACGCATTTATTGCTCCCAGTTCTGGAGGCCGGGAAGTCCATGATCTAGGTGCTGGCTGATTTGGTGCCTGGTCAGGGCTCTCTTCTCGGCTTGCAGATGGCCTCCTTCTCACTATGTCATTACATGGTGGAGAGTGTGAGAGAGAGAGAGCAAGTGCTCTGATCTCTTTTCACAAGGACACTAATTCCATTTTGAAGACCCCATCCTCACGACCTCATCCAAACCTAATTACCTCCCAAAGGTCTCATCTCCTGATTCTATCATGTAGTGGGTCAGAACTTCAATGTATGAACTGGGGGGGAACACAAACATTCAGTCCATAACGTCTGTGAAATCTTCCTGCTTCCATTTTACTGTGATTCCTCCCTCCTGGGCATCCTTACAGTTCTCCTCTCTTCCTTTCTCTTATTGCATGTTGTAAACAATCTTGGTCTGGCTTTTCTTCTCAACTAGATTGGAAGTTCTTTGAGAGTAGAGGCAAAGGATGTTCATTTATATATCCTCAGCCAATACAATGCCTTCCACATAGTAGATGCTCAGTTAATAAATGTTGGTTGGTGATGGATCGCCTGGATTTGCCCTGTGATTTGAGGCAGGATACCTAAGCTCTTAGGAGTCATTTCCTCATCTGTACCTGGAGATGATACAGATTTTCTAGGTGAAGATTTAGAGATAAAATGTGCAGAAATTGCTTAGCGAGTCTCACACATAGGGGGCATTTGGTGAGTGATTCCTAACTATTAAATAATCTGGAAGCACCTGAGGGAGTCAGGTTTCTCTATCACCACAGAGTAGGCAAGGTGAGCAAGGAGTGCTGCGCAAGGATGGGAAAGTGGAATCTGTACCCTCAGGTGAATGGTCAAGGTAGGCCTCCATGATAATTTCATCTGAGAGGGGACCGGAAGGAAGTGAAGATACAAGCTATGCAAAGATCTGGGGACCAACTCTCCAGATGCGGGGACAGCATGTGCAAAGGTCCTGAGGTAGGAATGGTCTTGGCACACTAAACTAAAGGATTAGGGATTAATAAGAGAATATGAAACTATTTAGACTATTTCCTGGCTCTTGGAGCACTTCAGTAGAGAGGAAGGACCATCTGCAATGGGTGGGACATAAAACATCTCCTCTTCTATGGATGAAACTTTAAGTTTTGAGAACGGGGACATTTTTTCCCCAATGTTTTGCATATAGATGATACTTTGAGACTTTTCAAAGTGCTAGCGATTGGAGGCCGGAGCATGTGAGAGCAATCTGAATTCAGTGTCTGCCTCCATGTTAACGGTTGTACCTGACTGATTTTGCTCACTTCTAGGCATATGTCACTTCCTTCTCTCTCAATAGTAGGTGTCTTCCTCTGGAAACTGGTCCTAGCTTGAGGATGGTAGCCTCATCAGATTCAGAAAAGACGAATTTGAATGAAGAGTGTTTGCACAGCTTTTTTTCCCTTTTTTCTGTGCTTTAATTTCCAAGTAAGCTCTCCTAATGCAAATGAGTTGGGTAGAGCTGCTCCTATTGTCTCTACTTTATAGATGAGAGAATCAAGACAGACTTCACGATGTTTCTCCCAAGTCAACCCAAGTATAAATGTTTTTAGGTAAATGCTTTATAGACAAGTGATTTGTGTACACGACAAATATGGGTGAAACCATTGAGCTTTTGTCATGGGCTTCTATAATTTCAGAAAGCTCTTTCAAGAGTTATTTTGGCTATTGAAAGATTGACCCTTTGCAATCTTTTTAGGATGCTTTATCAAGCTCATATGTGAAGACAGCCTAAGGTGAATTTGACACAAGTTTGAGAAAATGCATTTGTAAAACTGTGGTGGTGTGGCATATAGATAGATCATTCTGAAAAACAATGTTAAAAAGTATATAACGTTAGGATTTATTTTACCTATGTCCCCTATAGAAAGTTAACTGTCACAGTTCAGTTACCATGCACTTTCAAAATTAATGTTAGACCTATTATTTTAGAGCTGAGCCACATATGTTTTTTCTCACCACAAGGAGCATATCCAGAGACGATGTCACCAATCGTAGATGTGGCAAGAATTGCCATGCTGGATGACACAAAGCAAAGGGATGCTTCCTGAGAGATTGTATTTGCAAAATCAACCCCCCCAGAATGAGCAACTACTCCTAATGGCGCTGATTTTTTCTTCGTAGCTCATTATAACCGTGTTATCCGTATCTGTGCATCTTAGGATATTTGGGGCCGTTTTATGAAAAGCAACGTATTCTACCTATCTATATAATTTGTGTTTTTTATGCATTTCTGTTGTATCTTTCTTTTCTTTCTCATCTTTTCCACCTTTGCCATAGAGTCCTATTTATTTTTATTTCTAAAATAAAAGGGAGCCCTTTCCTGTTGGCTAAATAAGGATGTATGTAGTGGGCGTATTGGGGCCATTCAGGATGCTTTAAGATTGGCCAGCACTGCAGAAGGCAAAGAGAAGGGGAGGACACGACACTAGCTTTGAGCTTCATCTCTGAGCTACTGAGTCAAGCTTGACTTGAGTCAGACTTCTTCTGGACTTTTTCAGAGGAAGCTTCCAGAAAGCAAAAATTCCATTCATCACTGTTGACAGAATAGCAGCAAAAGCAGCAGCAGCAAATTTTCCTTGCTGTCTTTAAAATTGGTGCTATCCTTCCAGTTTTCTTAAGTTGAATCTGCATGGAATTTTATATAAAGACTGGAAGCATCTTTTTTCCGATGCATACTTTATGAAGTCTAGCAATTTATGGACTTTTTCTTTTTGCTTACAGTTATAACTAAAATTATCTTTACAAAGCAATTTATGGTGATTGCTATGATTTTTAATGACAGGTCAGAGTCCAGAAGCTTTAGATTATTTTTCTTGGTTATTGATCCTATTCTACATTGGAAACAAAAAATCTAAATCAATATTTGTGTTCTGGTCTTATTGGAGGAGGCCACAAGATAATTCGATGATATATTTAAATATCACGTATCATGGTTGATGGTCAAAAATGTGAATAGGATCAATAGTTCTATCAAGGATTAAAATCCTTAAGGTGATAGTACAGTGGTGATATTCACAGGCATTCTGAAATTGTGTGTGCTCACTTCTCTCTGTTCACTTGCCAATAAGATCCATCACCTAAACAATTGTCCTGAGGCCAAACTCCCCACCTGGGAAGAAAAGTACAAAGACTTGGTGTTGTCATTATCTCCAGGAAACTTCATCCAGGAGTTCTAAAGCCAATAATCTATCTCTCACTCCTCCTCCCTCCCTGAGCTGTTCCCCACACAGACACTCCCTGAATTAATAAGGAAAGAAAACAAGAACATCGCTCAGAAGTTTAGCAATAGTAGAATAGATACGTATGTGTGTAAACAAAATAATTATTATACGAACAACATAACTCGAGCTTTTTTTTAAGAGAAAATAATCCCAAGATATCACCACCCTAACAAATTTCTGCTTACACGCAATCAAAATTTCCCATGGTTTTTTTCATAGAAGAACTGTAAATTGTGTGTTCTGTGCTCAAAATAAAATGATGGTAAGCGTTTTCTCATGGTGACGAGGTGATGTGAAGGCAGTTCAGGAGGGAGTAAAGCTTAGGGAATTGAGAGGTGGGGTTTGGGTTCAGACAACTTGGGTTCAAATATGTGGCTCCACAGTTTACATATTGTGTGATCTTGGACAAATTACTTAATATCTCTTTTCCTCGTTTTTCCATGTGTAAAGTGAAATTTTAGAAAGCCCTTCAGTTAGAGATGTGCCCAAGCCAAACAGTTCACTGCAGATGCAAAGAGCCTGTATCTAGCATCTTCTTGTTACCCAAGAAATTGGGATACAGGGATTGGCAAATTCAGTGAAGAAGAATGAGAAGCTGGACAGAGATTCAGCTTTCAATAAATTGTTCCAGCAGATCTATTCAGAGGGTTCTTCTTTTTTGTTTTCAAGGTATGCTTTTTGGTGAGGAAGATTGGCCCTGAGCCCCTGAGCTAACATCCATTGCCAATCTTCCTCTTTTTTTCTTTTTCTTTTTCTTTTTCTCCCCAAAGCCCCAGTACATAGTGGTATATCCTAGTTGTAGGTCATTCTAGCTCTTCTATGTAGGATGCTGCCACAACATGGCTTTATGAGCCTTGTGTAGGTTTGCGCCCAGGATTTGAACCAGTGAACCCTGGGCCACCTAAGCAGAGCACTTGAATTTAACCACTTGGCCAGGGGCTGGCCCCTCAGAGGGTCTGATGAAATGAAACATGCCATGAACAAATTACCTATGGAGTCTGGTGGCTCAATTTTGAGTATCTACTGGTCCAAAGGTAGGTAAAAGGAAAGTTGAACTCAATCCACCTGATGAAACAAGATAGAAACAAAAAAGCACTAAATGAATGAATTTTCTATTGGCATTAAAAAAAAGGACTGTTGAGTGGATTTAATGAAATAATACCAGACAATTAAATAGTAGCTAGCTAAGTGCTCCATGCATATTGGCTATTATTATATTTTGTTCTATTTATATATTTACATAAATATATTTTATTTGTATATTTTTATATAATAAATATAAATTTACATATTGATTTTATTTATTTATTAATATAGTATTTATATGTTAAAAAATATACTGGAAAATATATACTTGATGACATAGTATATTATTTAGGGAGCCAATTGTCAAAGCTTGTGCAAATGATATTCGAATCATAATCAAATATAACTATAGCCTCCTTAACTCTTCCCTGTGCTGGAGAAAGTGCTAGTGGATAGTGTAGTTTTAACAACCAAGATAAAAAGATGTCAAGATGGTCCCTCAAACCTAGCTAGGATTCATTATAGATCCAGAGGGAAGAACGCCACCTACTGAACATCAGATTTCAAAGTTTATCTCTTCATCACGAGAACTTAATGATCATAATAAACTTAACAGGATGTAACACTTTATAATCATTAATTGGTTAATCTGCAAAGCATCTTTGTGAAGTAGAAAAGGGTCATTACCCGGATTGTTACGACTCATCGGATTCGCAGATGAAGCAGTCAAGACGGAAGCCGTGACCAGCCAACAGCAAACGTTTGTCTTCCTTGGATGACTCAGGAAAAATTTCGTCTGGTAATAAAGATTGGAATTCGGTGTTTGTGATGAAGTCCTTGGACACCTCACTTGCTTCCATGTTCTCTCTTTCTATCTGCCACAGAGATCTGCAGCGCCAACGGTCTCAGTTCAAACGGCGTTCCTCCAGCCAGTTCTTCAGAGAAACACCACCACGGAGGACGCTTTCCTTTTCGTTGTTTGAGTGGAGAATCCAAGAAATTGTGGACGTCTTCAGCTATTTTTTGCAACTTCTTCTAGCTTTATGAAGGTAGTCGACCTCATACTTCTCTTTCTTGAAGGTGAAAGGAATTTGATCACTTTCCAAATTTCTTGATATTTTGCCAAAATTCATGATCATAAGACAAGTTTACTCTGGGTTGCTCTGCGTTTCAGATAAATTCTCCTGGAATAGGTCTGACTGAGAGGACTTAAAACACTCGTTCCCACCGCTCCCGTCTTCATTTATGACCTTACATGTTGTAATAAATAGAGAGAAACATTTGACCCATGGCGCTATTGCTCTGAGATTGAAATCACTGGGTAAAATTTACTTTATATCAGCTGACCTGACACAAACTCTGCTTTCTCTGGGCTATTTTTAAGCCAGAACTGTAAAGCAATTTTACAACATGTACCAAAATCAAAGCAAAAACATTCAGGAACAGAGTATATTCAGTAAGTTTAAAGTATCCTAGTTTTTTTTCAGCCTTTTGTCAATTATTTATTCACTCACTAAACATATATTAAAGCCTTAGTACCAAAATATGTACCAAATATGGAAAAATCATATAGTGACTTCAGCTAATAAATATTTTCACAAGGGTAATCAGTAGTTTCAGGTGGATAAAGCAGAGTAATGGTTAAGGAAAATGGTTTAAGCCTCATTCTAGTCTGAATTCAAATCTCCACTTTGTTACATACCAGATGTGTGGAATGGGAAAAGTTATTTTGCCTCCCTGAACTTAAGTCAGCTGTAAAAAGGAAAGAGTAACCTCTGGGTCATGCTGCTATTAGAAGGATAAAATAAAATAATAGATGTAAAGCAATTAATGTGTTGTTTGAAGCACTGCCGCGTCAATAAAGACTAGCTAGATTTTTTCTTAAATTGCAAATTCCCTTTAGATTGGAATTTACTTAGAGACAAAGCCTTTTTTTTTTTTTTTTTTTTTGGTGAGGAAGATTGGCCCTCAGCGAACATCTGTTGCTAATCTTCCTCTTTTTGTTTGAGGAAGACTGTCGCTGAGCTAACATCTGTGCCAATCTTCCACTATTTTTTATGTGGGACTCTGCCATAGCATGACTGGAGGAGCAGTGTGTAGGTCCACGCCTGGGATCTGAACCCGTGAACCCTGGGCCGCTGAAGCACAGTGCGCGAACTTAATGACTATGCTACCAGGCCAGCTCAGAAACAAATCTTTTAACCTGACCTGGTACATCTGCAGCCTAAGAAGTCAAGCACCCTTTCTATCTGTGATGCAGTGAACAAAACTGCCTGAAAGTGACTCTGGGTGTTTGTTCTGGATTTGCTAGATAGTTGCCTGAGACCTGGAGATGTTCCCTCTCCTAGGGGGAACGAGTGCACCCAAGTTCAGCTTCCCACTAGGCCTGAGGTGCCTCCCAAAGTAAGGGTACTACAAAATCCTATTTGCCCTATGGAATTCAGGTGCTGGGCAGCTGGCATTACCAGACAAGTCTAGTAAACAGCTGGTACCCATTTCTAAACTACTGATTTCCAAGTAGCCTGTGTATGGCCCCATTGACAAGCCTCCTTTCTCATGTTTGCCCTATAAAAAGCTTAAATGGCAGGACGCAATAGCCCTATGGTGGAACCGAGACCCACACTACAGGAGCAGAAGCCCTCTGGACCTAGTATGCTTCTCTGCGGGATGATGGCAGCCAGAGGACTCGGGCCTTCTCTGCCTTTGCTGATCCAGGCTCATAAGTTTTTCTTTTCCCAATAAAGCCCATGCCACGTGATGATGTGGACTTCACGATGATACATACATGGCGGAGTCTCTTGATTAAAAGAATGCAAATAATTTAGTAGATTACGAATATAGCCTGTTTCTAGTTCTGTTATTCCTATATTAATGTGATTAACTTGCTTTGCCTCACTATTCTTATGAGTAAAATAAAGAATATAATTCTAATCAAGTTCACTATTTTGTTTGGAGACATAAATAATCAAAGGTATTGTAACATTTTTCTCGTGTTAGAAAGTTAAAAACAATAATCTCTTTAACTCGATGAAATATTTGTATCATTTGTGTACATGTTTTCTTAAGTAGATAAGAGAAACAGCATAGCATTGTGTAAAGAGGATAGGCCCTGGAGCTACAGTATATAGTCGTAAATCATGTCTTCGCCAGTTTCCAGCTCAGTGAACTTTGGCAATTTACTTAATCTCTTTTGCCTCACTTTCCTCATCTATAGAATGGGGATAGAAGAAATGTGAGAATTAAATAACTAACATTTGTAAAGTGCTTAAAATCAATGTTGTGTATTATCAAAAAAAAAAGAAAATAAATGTGGAGTTTGAATTCAGATTCCTTACTTCAAATTGGAACATCAGGCCCAGTATCTTCCTTTTTTAACTTGCTATTACTAGTATCTAGGAAATCTATTAATTCCTGCATCTTTTATTACAAGCCACATTAATAAACTTTCTTAGTAAGCTTAATAATTTTGCAGTTGGTTCTCTTAGGTTATCTAGGCAGGTAGTAATCATCTGTTAACAATGATAGTTGTATGCTTTTTCCAAAATTTACACTCCTTATTTATTTTTCTTGTCTTACTACAGTGTCTAGAACTTCCATAACAGAGTAGATCACTGTGGCATCAGGCGTCTGGGGTAGTGTGTATGTTGACAAATATTTGCTGCTTCTCCCTAGCCAGAATTATACTTTTCCACTCCAATGATTCCAAGTTAACCATATGACTGTTCTGGTCAATGACATATGAGACATTTTTTGAAAGAAGTTCTAAAAGCCAGATTTGTTTGACCGTGTTCTTTTTTGCTTTCCTCAAGCAATTATCAATACTCCAAACAGAGGCTACTGCATTAGCCTAACTCTGGAAATGAAATCATGTAGAGCAAAATTGCAGCTGACCCTTGATAGGTGTGTAACATCAGGAAGAAGCAAATCTCTGTTGTAAGCCATTGAGATTTGGGGTCATGTGTTACTGATGCATACATCCTTGATTTAATTATCCTAATAAGCAATCTCAATTCTATTCTCCTTAGTGTCTTTTAACCAACATTTTTCTTGACTTTCTTCCTTCTCTCCAGATTAAAACTATTCCCAAATTATAAAGCAATGTTATTCTTATTTCAAACAAGTAGGACCACATTTAGAATATATACATAATTGACGTGATGAGAAATTGGAGCATAATTTAACATAAAATTATAATTCCTGCAGCAGGAAAGAATGAAATACTCTCTGTCCCAAACTTATATTTTAATCTAAATTAGATGAGCCAAGTTATAGAACATTGCAGAACAATCGGTCACATCTGCAGTCACTATTTAGCCATCTCCATAGTGTTGGGTTTAAAGAGATTTAAAAAATTCAGCGATTATCTTTGGAGGGTGTAACTCGGGGATTTTTAAATTTTCTTCATGTCCTTGTATTACTCTCAAATTTTCTACAGTAGTGTATACATTACTTTTATGATTAGAATTTTAGAATCTTTAAAAATGGTGCCAAGAAGAGTAAGGTGCGAGAAGGGTAAAATGGTGGGGTTTAGGGATGGACTAACAACAAAAGAAAAGCGAAGAGGACAGTTAATTAGGAAGTTATGGCAATCCTACGGGTGAGAGATGGCGGGCTAAGGCAGGGGCAGTGGGACCAGAGTGTGAGCAGGAATAGGGTGGAGTGGATCGGATATGTGCTTGTGAGGTGGAATCAAATGTGACAGAATTTGGTGATGGATATGGGGTGCTTTATCCAAAGATAAAGGGTTTAAGGGAGAGGGAAGAGTTCAAGATAACACCCGTGTTTTGATTGAGGTTTCTAGGTAGATAGCGCCATCCCTGATGTAAGGAGAGAGAAATTCAAAGAAGGGAAGAATAACCACTTTGCAATGGGACAATTTTAGTTTGAGATGCCTGTGGGAAATATGTACGTCAAACTGGATAAATTTCTTCCACATCAGATTACTTGGTGGAATTTCTACAGGTGGTAGGTCATCGCTACTCCTTGCTTTTAACCATGGCATTGGAAAAACTGGAGTTTGCTCTAGCAGGACATTTTTGAAAATTTTCTGGGGTAAACTTTTCCTGTTGTCCAGCCCTTTCTAAAAAGATTAGTTTCATATCTCTATAGGCCTACAGACCTCTGGATATATTTTAATATTCCAACATTTTATTGACATGGATAGTAGGGAAAAGATTGGAATTTATTGGTTACTGGTTTTGGCCCTGGTGTTTTCTTCTGTGGAATTCTATGCAGAATACATATTTTGGCCATATAGGCATTTTCTTATTCAGGGTGGAGCTCTCACCCTTCATTTTGCAATATCCAAGGGGATTTCCCTCTATAAGGGGTTGAGCTAGAGTTTTCAAAGCTATCAAAATGAAATTGGTTTTAGTTCATTTGAGTACAACAATAAAGTTCTGTATGGCATATATTTAAAATATAATATTTTCTCAGACTTGGCTTGGTAATTATAAGGCAGGCGATTGTTGATCTAAAGCTCATATGTCAACTCAATGTGGAATCGTAGAGAAGGCGGGGAATCAAAGACCTCTCCCAGGGTCGGTCACCTAAACTCTTTGTTTCCTAGTTCTTTCATCTACACAAAATGTGACATACATTGGTCCTCCCCAACTGCACTATGCAGTTGGCATTAAATTTAAATGTGACTGTGTACGTGAAACTGTGTAAAAACTAAAAGCACTATACACACGTTGGTAATTCTTACCGTTTCTCAGTTACCTCCGTGTTCCTTCTCTCGTTTCTGGCCTGTTTTAGTATGTATAGGAATTACTTCCTGAAATGGAGAAGCACCATCCACTTATAGCAAAAATTAGGGAACAAGAGAGATGTATTTCTGTTACCGGTTTGTGTAATAATTAAATATCTAGTGAAAATCAGAGCTAAATAGGATCATTGTTATGAATCTGTTCAGAGAAGAGATTGCTTTCTTATGTGCTAGAAGTTATATTATGTATATTATATAACATTAATACTTAATATGTAATTTAAATTTAATTTATTTCAATAATATAATTAAGATAAAATTATATATTATATAATTTAGTTAATATTATAATATGCTTAATAATTTATTGATATCTATTAATATATTAATTAATTAAATATACTATACAATCTTTAGGCCATCATATACAAAGATCTCCATGACTTGTAATTTACTCATTGTTAATATGTTAACTTTATTACCTATGTCCTTCTACCCAGTGATAACATTAATATTTTGGTATAGAGATATGCAGTCTTAGTTTTTTTCTAGCCATATTATTGTTATTCTATACATAA